TCGAAAATGTATGGATAGCTGGATCTCAACACTATTGTTCCAATCAAAAAAAGCAGAACGCATTATGATGAAACTTTTTAGTCATGTAAATGAAACAACAACATAATTTATAAGCTCCAAATTATCTTGAAACTCAATGAAGATTCTATACGAATGTAACTTAAGAAGTATATGACGTATGTATTCATGGGACCCATACATAACTGCCACTTAGTTTTTAATACTTTTCATATTAGCCCATATAATTTTTCTTTCTGAAACCGATTACAAAAATCGAGTAGAAGAAGTTGAGAGTAGAATAGAATTTATAATATATACTCAAAGTATTATAAAAGCCGATTATGTTTTAAAAATTACTTAAGTATCTCCGTAATCCGTATCGATTAGTTTGAAGTTTTTATAAAATATAACAGTTCTTGGTACAATTTGAAACAAGCCTTACATAGAGCTACTACACTTACCGCCTTTCTAAAAACATAATAAGAATCATTGTCAATATTTATGATCCAACGTTCGACAGCGCTTAAGCCTGAAGTTGCATTTTAATGGATTTTAAGCTTATGAGAAAATGAACTCCAAAATCTATTACCTTAATTTTGTTTAACTTCTCTTTACTCGTATGAATAATGATATGAAGTATGTACGGAATACCTTTCACTCTAGAGGTTTCCATACCAAAGAGATGTTTAAATTTAAGTTCGGTTCTGAATGGAAAAATACCAGCTTTATGTCATCTACGTAGTAATTAAAGCGAAAATCTCTAGCGTTTCTTTCTGCTTCAGCCTTAAAACGCAGTTTCAAACCGGATTAATGTGTCATTTCTGAAACAAGCAGTACAGTCAGCACGAGTACTGAATTTTATTTTACATCTATGTATAAAATGGAAATCTGAAACGAAAGAGTTTTTTATACGAAATGCTATGCAAATTACATCTTTTAAATATGCTCGTTATTTTTTTATTATTATTCCTAGTTTAATTTTTAATATTGTGTATTAAGTTTTCTTTGGAACTATTTCATTGGGCATAAATAAAAGTTTTTCAAATGAAAAACGAGCTACTTAGTAAGAAAATCGAGGTACAACGATAATTTGTAACATAATTTAAAATTCTATAAAAATATATTTGTTGGTATTTTTTACACACCTAGAATAAAGAATAAAAAAGCGTAAAATTGTTTACTTGATATGCGACTATTAAGTATATAGAAAACATTTTGTAATATAATTATAAATTCTCCATAACAATTCTGTCTAAATAAAAGATAAATTATGGAGCTACCCAGATACTTGTGCTTGTTATTTTTTCACAGCCGTCTGGTAGCGGTAATTTTTATAATAGTATTTTTTAGCACTTCAATTATCCTCACTTCAGTAAATTGAATGTTCCCAGGTGCATAGCTTGTGGATTTAGCGAGAATGACAATGAAAATAGTAGTTCATTGTTATTTCCAGAGGTTTATTACAATTACGAGGCGTATTTCTTAGGTTATTACCTATTTAAAGTTACTTCTATTTATAAGAGAAGAATAGATACCGTTAATAAAACGAGAAAAAAATTAATGAATCAATGATCATGTCCAAAATCTATATATAATATTAAGTAAGAGATATAATATTAAGTAAGAAATAGTTTAAACGATATTTTTATTTGAGATAATTTTCTTATTATTTGAGATTTTTATTAGTAAGGAAAGTATTTCAAACTATCATTGAGTAGCTTTTTTTGACACTAGTACTCAGTATTGTCATTGCAGTGACAACGATAGTTGTATCTACGGTCTTGTTTTAATCATCTGCACAGTTTACATCTTCATATATTCAAGAGCTTCGAGGCTAAAAATACGTTGTACATAAATATTTCTATAACAACACAGAGACAGTGCTGAAAAGAATGCTTTGTTATAACAGAAAAGATTTTTATGAAATTCGCTTCACTTATGACCATGCGGTTGGAGGTTAACAATTCCTTTAAGCTACATTGTATTCAAAATGTTTAAAATATATCTCATATTTTGTAATATTTGTAATATTCTTATAAAATTTGGATAATATAATATTTACAATATGTTTATTTATTAGTTTTTTAATTTATGGCCGTCATTTCTATGTATAATATTATTGAAAACAAGTTCATGTTATCTCCGTTGACAGAGGCTTGTAATTTATCTGAGCAGTTCATTGTTGCCGTCGCGTCGTCCCACGTTGTATTGTGTGCTGACAGCGGACACTATCGTGAATATGGTACAATTTATGAGAATCAGGGGATTATTTTTAATAATCTGAATGCAGAATAGCCTAGGTTTGGTATAGGCATAAGAATATAGTTTCTTCAAAAGCCTTGTGTATGTACATATAGAAGGGAACTAATAAAAAATCTTTTAATAAGCTTTTTTTATCTTTCATGAATGTATGAGATTTTTTTATCCTAATTGACATGAAATTATGTTTTCTGTTTTTCATAATATAAATGCCAAATTAAAAAATTGCCGAGCAAAATAAATGTAGTTTTAAGAGTCTGAATCGTATTATTTTATGAAATTTCACACTTTGTTACTTTGGCATAATTACGTTTGCTCTTACATCTTACAACAAATAACAGCATTATTAAAATTTTAATATAATTTTTGTAGAAATTTATTTCTAATCTTGTCAGTAATAAACCAAAATTATTAGGGGTAATGAAAGAGCAGTTATTATTCTATTTTTTAATAATTTACACTACGTTTAACAAATAGTAACAGAAAATTAGGAAAGTTACAAGTACGCAATTAGGATTCCTAGAAAACAGATTGAAAATATCCTAGTTATTATATGAACTACACTTAAATAGTACACGATGGTTTTATAGTTGTTACATAGAAAATTACATTTGTATGATGGAGAGGAGAAATATTATTCATGTGAAAAAACAAAGTATTTTAATGAATTACAGAATTTTACAATTCCTTATATCTACAAGAAAACCTAGTGTCCACAATTAAAGGAACATATATAAAGTAATAACTTAATAAAAATTTAGATTTTAAATTTATTTTAGGTTTAATTTTTAAATAATAAAATACATACATTTAAACAAAACTGTTTTTAGGGTAATACATTCTAGAAGTATTTTATTTTTAATATCTTTTGAGATTAATCCACTGGCTTGAATTTGTTACAATGATTTAATCAATACTCTCTACATACACATCCTAGATATTTAGGCATAATATATATTTGTATACATCTATATACATCGACATCTCGACTGTAAGCAAACTTTTCTATTACAATTAATATGTCACTATACCTTACTATTGCCTGAACAATTGCCATTATTACCATAAATTATTATATTTCTATAATTAAAACCTTAAATTATAAATAATTTAAATATAAGAATATAAGTATGTTTTTTTGAACAGAATACAGGAAAACATTAAATTTCTAATTTCTACATACATAAAGTTATATTATTAATAAGAATTCTGGGATTTTAAATGAAACTATAAAATAAAATTGTTTCTTATATAAATATTAAATACGAGTAACTACATCCTAACTTACAATAATATATGCCATTTATATTCTAAGTATTTGCATCTACTGTTATTTCACTTTCGTCTTTCATTTTGGGTCAACTTAATTCTATTGATCGGTGTATGATATTGTTATATTGTAATTTATAATTAAATTTATATCAACTTCTACAGATTTAACATTAAAAATGATGACCCTAAAGCTATTGACTTCATTTTTATTAAATGTTTTTAAGTCAGTCGATTTATTGTCAATCGTGAAAAACTTCGAAGTATTTATAATAGAAAACGACAATCTGGGTAACACAACGTGGACTAGTACATGTTTACTTCACAAAGAGAATTTCTTTAATTCAGATATTTAAACATTTATTCATATCTATTTATATATTTATTTTAAACAACTAGAACAATCATTAACTACAAACTGTATTTACATGGGAACTTTATTACATCTCTACAAACTACCTTATCTTAGGCCAATAGGAGAGCAGAAAACTATAGAAAAGGGATCGTTCGCCTTATAAATTCAATTCAATTATACTATTTACTTAACCTATTAAGTATACAAAGGCTTACATACATCCTAATTAACAAAAAATCACAATTACTATAATTGACTAGAAACGCTAAAAATCTTTAGCTGGGCTCATAAGCTTAAAGTTTTGAAGCGTTTTATCTTGAACGAATTCATCAAAACATACAAATTATTACTTTAAATATTATACTCATAGATATACATATGAACAATTTTAATATCTATTTACAATTTAATTGGAAGCGCAGAAATAACATTTCAGTGCATTCACTTTTTTTGGCATTGCTCGTAAAAATACATTTAATATATACATTTCCATGTCAAATATTATAAGGGTATTGTCACAATAAATTGTAATGTCTGTTCATTTGTGTTATTATTCGTTCTAAACTTTTATATATACTTGTAATCTAGACACATAGATTAATATAAAGTTTTTTAATATGACTATTGTTAACACTATTATTGTTATCGTTCATAAATAACTAGATATATAAAGAGACTTTAAAAATTGAATTTTATTTACATAATGTAATATTATTGTCAGTTCCGAACAATTTGTGTGGATTATCAACATATATTTAATCAAATTTAACAAGTTTACTTACAACATTTATTTACAAGTTTTACTACGATTTGAAAATGGCCAAGTAGAAGCTGTACCTGCATTTCACTATAAATTTAAAAGAAACATTGCTCTTATATGAACACTTACATTTTATATTTTTATTACATTTAGAGATATACTAGATTTTCCATACATTCAAAGCGAAGATACTGTATAATATACTACCTTATATACCTACAAGTCGTAACATAGTATTGTCTTATCATAATCAGCGGCAATATTTATTAAATTTATAGATTTTTATAAATTGTGCGCGCAACATTGTATTTATCAATGCTATATACATCAAGATTATTTATAACAAGCATGCATAGACTAGGTTATATGGAAATCCCCCCTAAGAAGTCTTGTGAAAGTTTTTTTGAACTGCTGGTTAGCCAAGGCATAACAAAAAGGATTGATAGGACTATTGGCATAGCAAAGAAAGTATGAAAACATATAAAGATGTTGATTTATGCATGGAGGATCAGTGCAGAAACCTTCTACCAAAGCCAAAACATGATATGGTGTCCAACATACAACAAAAGCCCCCAATATAAAAGAAATAGTTCTAAATGCTTTCCTAGCTCTATTTTCTGATTTAGATTTTTGCCTCCCTATACTAGAAAATAATCCATCTCGTTTTGAACGTTTTACTTTCAATTTTTTACCTATATTTTTTACAAAATCTCTTCTGGAATCACCTCGACCAGTTCCACTTACAGCTGGACTAGAAATTTCACTATTTTCAATAGCTGATGTTTCATTTAACCTCGATATTGACGATTTATCAGGTGGTTTCAAAGTTTGAGTCTCATTATTATTGGAAGACGAAGTTACAAGGGTAATAATAGGCTTTGGGCGTTCTCCTGTAGTTAAACTTACCTCTGTGTTAACTTTTACAGGTGGTGGAGGAGATAAATTTGTTTTAGGTTGTGTTACTTGAGCTTCAGCTGTTGCTCGTATAAGAGCAGCCTGTAATAATGAAGTACTTGTTATAATACCTGAATTAGGGTTGGGGGTGATGATGGTTCGGTAGCTGTTGGAAAGGTGATTGAAGATGGTGGACTTTCATTCGTGGGTGTAGGGACAATTATAGAACTTTCATCCATATACCTTAAATCGGCTCCATCCATACCCATAAGAACATCAGAAGCACATCCATCACTCTTTATTAACTTAAAGATTCTAGTTCTAGATGATTCTGAATATGATGGAGGACTGTCAGACACAGGTGGACTGCCTCTAAATTCTGAAGGAGGTGGGATGATTCTTTGAGCAATTGTAGTGATAACATCTCTTTCGGGCGGAGTAGCCATCCCCGAAGATGGAGGGGACAGAAAGCTAGCTGAGGACAGGGGTACACTTACTGCAGGGGTTTGTCCATTACTGTGTGAGGTTTCAGGGTTTTCAGTATCTAAAAGGCTCTTCTCTGATATTTGTGATAATGATGACTTCGGCTTTTCAAGTTCATGCTTCACAATAGGAGATTGTTTTAATTCAGGTTTCATAAGCATACTACCATTAAGTCGCATATTATTAAGTAATTGTATAGCACCAGTCTGCATAACTAAATTCGCAACCGAGGGTCGTTTTTTTATATTAGTTTGTGTGGTACTTTCATCATCCGAATCAAAGGCCGGGCTGCTCGATCTTTCTGCTTCTACTTGCTCTTCTTTTTTTTCTTCATTTGATTCAGCCGTAGTTGAGGTACCTGTTGCAGTGGCACTACTTTTATGAGCCGATGACTTTTGGCTAGAATTTGAATCAGTTGACCCACCTAGGTTTAATAAAGGCGCTGCTAAAGAGCCTTTGGACGTAGAATCCTTACGGATTGCTTCTGAAACTTTTATTTGATCTTCACTTGATATTGTAGCTTTTGATAACGCTGCCATTCCAGCAGCTCTGCCTGCCATGCCAGTCATAACACCAGCACTTAGAGCAACCATTGACTGCATTTTTCTCTGTTTAGCTTCACTTTTTTTTTGCATATCATAAGCTGTTTTAAAAATACCTGCATATAAGACAATCAACACAAAAAGTGTTGTCCAGTAGTATCCAATTATTAAAGCTGTATTAAATATAGGGTCTTTTAAAAATTGGACTGCACACTCACCCTCTTGCAAGTCTCTATATCCAACAAAATGTTCCCAACCAAATATAGTTGTAAAGAATAACAATGCTGGTATTATCCAAGTCACGGTAACCATCCATATCACTCTGTTTTTTGTTCTCCATGCTCTGTATCTAGCTGCTATTTTTACGCTACAAAATCTGTCTACAGTTATAAGAAGTACAGTGTACTGTGACACTAAACAAACTGTGTAGTCAACAGAAAGCCAAAGGTCACAAAGCAAGGGTCCTAAATGCCAGTAGCCTTTTAATACGTAGTCTGTATAGAATGGGAGCGACAAAGTACCTGAAAGAATGATGTTTATTGAAGCCAATAAATCTTTATCCATAAATCAGTTTATATGAAGGCGGACCTCTCCATTCCTTTATTTGTTTTTATCCTGATCAAATAATCTTTTAGAGATAGGTTAAAAGAAAGCAACATAATGTAAACAGCTTAATCTTACCTATCAGAAGATCAGTGGCAGCGAGCGAAGCAATAAAGTAGTTACTTGGTTGTCGTATCGTTCTATCCACGAGGAATGCGAGTAGTACCAGAACATTTCCACTAACGGTTAGTAAAATTACCAGAAGAAGGCAAGTTGCAATGATTACAGCCAGCCAGAGTGGAAATGGTGGGAGTACAGGTTGCTAAAACAAATAAAAAAAACTGACAATAGAAATAATTTGATCAAAATAAATCACTAATGACGCCTGCTTATTTCTTTGTTACGCGGGCGAAATATTTATTAAAATACTTAATGAATATAGATAGAGTTACGCGGTTATATGTATAAGATATCAAATAACATGTGACGTTGCTGTCTTCATGCACCGTAAATCTGATTTTTGAAACTAGAAGATTCCATTTAAGAAATATGATGGTATTGTTAATTTAACATCGTAGTTTTTATATAGCTATAGGTTCTCGGTTATAAGTTGTTATTATAAACTTTTAATGTAATTTTAGTAAGATTTCGTTGATTTTTGAAAAACTATTGCTGGTCGTAACCCACATCCTATATAACTTGCCGATAGATATTACATTCAATACCATTTTCTTTTGTTACCGTAAATATTTTATTCATGTCCACAGTCCTTTCAATATTTCTCCGAACAGAATTTAAATGTTGGAAATAAGGAAATATATTTGTAAAATGCAATGAATATTTTAGGCTCTTAAAATTTAAAGAGTCTTAAGCTTTTAATAAATATCTTTCATTTACAAATAGAACTTATAGAAATTTATCGTGTTTGATTTTTAATAATGAGTGTAACTGTATAAAAATAAAAACTTGTGAGGTTGTGAATATTTAAAGTTATTCGATTTATTCGAGTCACTTTGATTGGTACAAGTTATTTTGTTAATAACCTCTACATACATACATAACGATGCCTCTTAAAGTAATTTAAAGTGTATCCGTGTATCAGCGAGAAAAATTTTGTTTCAAAAAAATATTTAAATGAGCGTTATCATTAAGTTAAAATACATTGTGTAATATGGTTAATAAAAACTTAGGTGAGTGAACTCATTACATAAAAAAAATTAAGCCTTCGATGGTTTATTTTAGAATTTAATATTCCCTAGTATGACAGGGCAATATAAATTCTAATATAATAATATTTAAGTAACATGTAAAAAAATATTATGTACATTACACATATACATACATACACACACTATTATATATATATATGTATAAATAAATGAGGTCCTTTAAATGTGGACTCATAAATCACCTTACTAATCTTTCAGGCAAAAAGTAATCGACCGATTTTTTAATGGATGGAGGCTTTCGAGTAATACTCGTACATATATCTAACACATCGAAATAACATCGAGGACTTAATTTTTCCCGAAATTTTATTTCATTCAATACACACGAAATATCATAATGACAATATAAGTCATCGTCAATTCCAGTTTAAATTGTAGTTATGTGTACAGACCTGTTCACTTGGCTAAAATTAGAATAAGAGATCATTCACTGTTTGAATGTGACTTGAATGAGTGGTCATTTTGTCATATCTTATTTGTCATGTATTATTTGTCCAAAAATAACTTATCTCTTATATGAGGTTCTTCCTTATAAGATTCTCCGCCCAATTAGCATTGAGTATTTTTGAAGTGTGGTTTATAGTCCTTTTATGTAGTTTGTGTGTATTTTTTTTAAATACAGTTACTTTAAACTTTAGTAGTACTTTAACAATTTACAATACACCTTGTAAAATGTTTGGATTATAATTTATAAATTTTTTGTTGTTCTAGGTGCTCGTAGAAATATAACAAGTCTTCATAAGAAAATATATTAATAAACGCCTTTATTCCATTCTATAAACTCCTTCGTGTTTTTCCCACACAGTACTCAAGATAATAATACCTACGTCTAAAATGTAAAGACGTCGACATTGGCAAAATATTATACGATTCCAGTGCGAATGAATCTGTTTATATTTTGTGACTTGTCCTATCATTTAAGAATAAGTGAGAAACATTTTGGTGATTGAGGTCAAAGTTGCATTTTAGTCAATTTTGTCTATAGCTATAGAATCTATTAGACGTTTTAGTACTAACCTGTAAATATAACATATATGTATGACATAGTAGAAAAATTTGTATTAGAATTATAAATACATATAAACAACAAACTTCACAATATAAAATAATGTAATTGTTAGGTAAGGACTGTGTTATTTTCCTCGTGTATTTCTTTTGTGAATCTAACAGAATAAGGGAGAATGCGACAGCCAATCGATTTATTTTCTGGTATGTCAGGGTCGGCGTAAGCAACATTGTAAATATAACTCTTTGACAGTCGTTAAATAAAAATAACGTTAATATAAATACTGAATGCCTATGTTTGTTTGAGTTTATATCTTAAAAATAATCAAAATATTCCTTATTACACATTTAAGTGTCATTCAAACGAATAAGTAATGAAATAGATAAAAGGTTAAAAAGAATCGATTGTCTGTTGCATCAAGTACTCCATAAGTTAAAACAAATGAATTTCTAGGCAAAAAAATCCCTATTATATTTTTTTGTAATCCATACTATATATCAAACACATATATGAATAGCCTTAGCCTCTAAAAGTTCAAGTATAATATAAGTGAGTCAATATTTTTATAACATATATGTTATTAAAAAATAATTTTATTGTAACGTTTATTATATGTATACTTCTTGGTGTGGTATCGTAAATAACTTCAACATATAAAAAAGCACAAAAATATTAATAGCGCCGATAAATACTCAATATTTTAATGACCGTATTGCGTGAGGCGGCATATTAATGATACTCTTTTCAATATGTGTACTTTATGTTTTGCAAATATTTACTAACTTCAGCAACGTACCATTAATGTTTACAAGATTTACGTCTGACATTTTCGTTTAAGCCCCAAATGTAATCTTGTTTTTACATTAAACGAGCATCAATCTTTTCAGGCAACTACAAGTATATCAATAAATAAAATTTGTTCATTGGAGCAATTTTTGATTTCAATAATAATTAATCATTTACTTAAGTCTAGAGTTACACGAAAGTTTTGTTTTTATTTACATAAAATAAAAATTGCAATAACTGACCCTCTAGTTTCTGTACCTTTCTGGTGACGCTGTCAAAACTGACAGGGCTTAATGATATATATACTTATATATACCTAATAAGAAAAAAAGCAATTCCACTGAAATGTAGAATTGTTTTACGAGTATTATTTTCTGTTCCTTAATTATATACCAGATAAAAGTCATTATTCATCCTAGAATGCAATTTCATGCATTCATCATTTTTCATCAATTTTCATTAAGAAGTGTAAGGATGATGAATGATTGTTATCATCGAAGCAATTAGCTATATTAAATAAAATAATTCTTTTTTACTGTTATATGAAGAATTCTTCAAAAAGGAGTGAACATATTCAAGAGACCATACGGGTATGCGAACTAAATTAACGTGCTTAAAATAATATGATTACTTTACTTCTGAGGAATAAATACCAACTTCCAGAAAATTTAAAGATATTCTAGGACTGTTTTCTTATTTTAGTGAGAATTCTTTCAGGCTAGTAAAAATTGTTTAAATTCATATGTCATACATAATAGACATATGAAATAGTAAGTATATCATTTGTTGAGCTGTGTTAGTTTACAAAATTGGTAATATTATGAATACTTTCAAAATATTTAGACTATTGTTAGTATTTGAGAAAAAAAACATTTAAGCACATAACCTAATATAATTAAAAAGATTTATAGTAGATTTATAGATTTTTATATATTTTAATAAGTAAAATTATAGAAAGGCTTTCAAAGAGTTTATTATTACTTAACTCCTAGTAAACTTAACCTGATCTTACTTTATATTTAAAACTTCTAAACTGAAATGGATTTACATCTTCCTGTCAGAAGTAAGACTTCTAGAGTCAAATATACTGCCTCCATATAGATATTTATGCACCTACATTTCGGTGCATGCGCGCTGTGTTTGAGATGCAATCTTTTGGGTTTTCTTAAAAATCCTAGTTTTAACACGACGAGAGGATAAAATTTGCTAAGAAAATATTGTATGTAGAATATTGACTAAAATATACAATACAATATGTTGTATCTTAGAATAGAGAAGACACCTGTGAATATATATTTGATTCCGTCTGCTTTTAATCAAAATTGCTTGAATTAAGAATAAATACTCTACAGCTTTTGAAGTTAGCAAATCAAAGAACTACTAAAGACAAACTTTTAAACTGAAACGTTCATTTAAATATTATCCGTATTAAAGGAGTTTTATAAACTATATTTTTATATGAAAGTATTCCTCCTCAAAGGTATTATGTAAATGTTACATCATATCTTTTTCATTTTTTAACCAACATTGATCATTGGTTGTGATTGTAATGGCTTTTGTTCCAATTGGTTTTATATAAATTTTGCCCAGCTTGCATGAGGAAGTTACAGAGTAATCAATGAAAATCTCTGCAAGGATAAATAGGTCATATTATTGTTTCTGCGAAATAAAATCGCATTTTCAAAAAACAAATTTATAAATTAATATTCATATGTAAAACCAAGGAGTTTTTTTTTAAATTAATATTAAAATCGATTGTTGTCAATTCAATTACTTTTTGTTAACAATTTTCCAAAAAATAACGTGTCATAAAATTGGTGTCTATATACTTGAAATATTAGAAACCGTTAGTGGATGGTTTATTGTGTTATAAAAGTTGACCATCGTAAATATTTCGATATAAAATTTCTTTGTTGAATATTAATAGACCATAAAAAGTAAATTGGAGATTTTCGGTGGAGTCACAATAACTGTTAAATTGGTTTTATACATAAATTCCATTGAGTAATTGTTGATATGATTTTAATAACAATTTTGTGTCACATATTAAAATCGTAAAGTCTTTAGAAACTGAAAACATAATTATTGCAACCATCGTTAATATTGAAATACACTTGTATTTTTTTAAATAATAATATTGATCTTAAAAAAGTTTTACGTCAGTCAGTAATAATTGTCTACTAAAACATGTATGGTAAGTGTAAAAAAGTCAAATCGTTTTTTAACTATAATTCTAAAATGAAAATATTACTTTCAAAAAGTACTTTAATAAAAAACATTTTGAAAATATTAATAAATAAAACATTAGTTTTCTTATCGGTGTAACACACTGACATACATATTTTTATATAACACATTAGATACTAACATTAATTAACAATTATCTAATCTCAATATTTTTATGGACGAACCTTTTTGAAAATATATGACCAAATTTATATTAAAACTTTCATAAAATTTTGGTAGCGATAGCTAACGACGTTACGTGACCTGTTTGCCAGACCCTTGATTCAAATATTACAAGTTTAATCTATTTTTAAATGTTATATAATTTATTAAAGATCTTACCAAATCCGTAGTTTCATCTAGGGAACCATTAAAGAAATAGACATCAGTATAATTGGTCACGTTGCTGAGATAACTCTGGCATTCTGGATTCGGATTTGTGAGACAGGACCGCTGCTGTTTTAGCTTTTGTAATTTCCTGTTAAAAATGTTTATTCAATTAATTCATGTTGACATTACTTTGATAAAACTACAATTTTGTTGTTTAAATCTCTTGAAGTCATAGAATTTAGAAATCATTCACAAGACAAGTTTTTGTGCAATATGGTAATACATCAAAATGTCAAAATGTCAAAATGTCTTTACAGTTGTATATATTATTGTATTTATCAAGTTTAATTTTCGAAAATGATGATTTCTATAAACATGACATTAAATCAATGATTTTAGTTTAAGATATAAATAACAAATTCTTTATCTTTTAGAGAAATAGAAGAAGATTCATTCAATTGATTGATACTTCAACTTTTCTTAATATATACGAATATAAAATTTATATTTCATAAATATCCACATTTATTAAGATTTATTAACGTTAATGTACTGTATCATTTGTTTTAGGAAAGTATTTAAAAAAAAATTAAACTAACTCTAGAAAATTAAACTCTGACTTAATTAAAATGCTCCCAGTATGAATCGTAGGGCAAAATAATCAAATTGACGCACAGATTCTGCAAAAGGAAATTAGTTCATCAAAATGAATCGTTCTTCGAAACGAATGTTCATTTAGAGTAGAGCTGTCTACGCGTGATATTCCTTATAACAATGGTTTGCGACTAAGATTTATCAATAAAATAATGTTGTTAGTATGTAGAACAATTTTAACTCAAAAACATGTTAACAAATTTTTATACTATATTTGAGAGTTTAAAATCATCAATATATATCGATCATAATTAAGCCCTGATTACAATATATAATACAAAACAACAAAAGCAGAACTTCCTACACTATAACTGGGAATGTATACATCTTACATACGCTAGACAAGCATTCGATGAATGCCTAATTAAAATCTGCAGCCACAAATGAAACATATTCTCCAGTTATTACGTTCTTCGTTCCAAATGACTAACAGTGTAGGCATTGTTTTTTCTATACGAGACTCCCTTACTGTGATGTTGGGTAGGGAACATTTGAATTAAAAAATATTTTAAATAAAACACATATAAACGAGTATTTGCGAGTTCATTTTCAATTATGCCCACTGTTTAGTTCTGTCTTCAATTTAACCGAATGATACAAGTTGACGTTATTCAACACGGAATGAATAAAATGCAGCTAAATAAAATCTTATATTATGTTAGATTAAATCTTTTTTCCTTTCAGTACTGATATTTTCAGGCGAAATATGCAAGGAAGGCTCGTGGATACAAATGACGTGACATCTCATAATAATTACTTTCGGTTTTCCAAGACATGTTTTGGTTCCGTATTTTAGTTGTTATCAAAAAAATAGTTTAATATGTACATTATATATTTTAATGCCATTCAAATTATTATTTTTTTGTGGTAAATCAAAATCATGGTCTCGTTAACTTACCATTGTGTTATAAAACTTGTGCCGATGGTATAAATAGGCGTGGAACGGTTGACGTCTAGGCTTGCTTCCGTCGAGTTCATTGTGATTATTTGCACGCTATTATTGTACATTCGTGTCAGAAGAACAGCATCTGGGAGAGACAAATAGGATTGCTGAAATTTAAAGTAGTACTTTTTTGCAAAACAAAAATGTCTTTCACTGCAAGCTTTTCATTTCTAGGTTCATTTTTCTGAGCAGCAAAACTTTTAAAAGCCTACAATGGATTATCATTTAAATTTGTTCTTAATCTTTAACGGTTTGTTAAAAATAATTTTAATTAATTCACAAGTGCTGTTTTAAATTTCTAATTGCAATATCATTCAATAGACTTTAAAGATCATTCTCATTAAATGTAAATGTTTATACATATTTTATAAAAGCTTTTTAAAATGTCAGTCTGATAATATAAAAACTTCACGGTCTTATATAATAAGGAATAAAAATTATAAAATGCGGTTCTACGTAAAGCTTTTTATTGTTGGCTTGAAAACGTTCCTTCAATAACTTCCATTGAATTGGAATGAATATCTTATTTAATTGCATTAAAATCTCACCAGTTACAGAGAGGGGACAGACGGATGGGATACCGGCTACGGCCGGCTATCTCTCTCTTGTTCATACTGGACCGCATCTATAAAGGAAAATCCGGTGAGCCCTAGGATTCAGATCACGAATTTATATTAAATATATTAGAACACATTTACTCCACGTATATAAAAATATACATACATCTATTTAAGTGATAGTATATCATGTAGGATTTGATAATAATTAAATAATCTCATCATTTTATATTACCTTTTTTATAAGTCATTATTTTTAGCTATCTTTTTTAATTTTTTAAATATTATCGTGGTTGCATGACTATTTTGTGTTAACACAAAGAACTTTTGTTTCGTTGTTATACACGAGTTTATACTTTTAATACACTTAACGAATTACAACATTTTTAACTTGAACCAAATTTACACAAGTTAACTTGACTAAAGATAATAATGATTATGTAAGACGACACATAAGTGGAGATTAAAAGGCCCTAATCTGCACTTGATCATACGAGCGGAAACTTGTGTAACTTATACTTCAAAGAATATTGATAAATTTAGCCGTAATTAAGTCTTTTGGGGATTCATCATCTTTGTGAAGCTCGTATATTAAATATATTATAATAGTCTATATAATGACTCGTAACTAAAACTACCCATTTTATTAAAATTCCTTTATAAATGCTTTTTTTATCCGGACCTTTTCTTTGAATCCACATACTTAAACTTTTGTATGGATATTCATAAAAGAGCAATCCTTTCATTGGAAGGACGAGTGGTTTAATAAAGTTCCTGAAAAAATGTCTTAGATCGGACGTTTTTCATTGACAACTATAGCTAATCAGCTAAACTAAGTAATCTAGTTTTATACAGATTTTGTGATAAGCATATTTAAAAATGCTATCTGGATTGTACTACAATATTAAAACGATTGAAAACTTTATGGATATTTTTCGGTACAACAAAAGTATGTTCTGTTATATTTTAACTGTTTCTTGTATTTGAACTTATGGTAAACAGTAAACTTACGTATGTTTTTGTATGATGGTAGTACTGTGTATAGTTATTATATAGAACATTTAAGCCCTGTTTATAAAATTAGCGTATTCGTTTATGGTCACTTGCTACCTACGTTTAAGTTTAATAACTGAATGGAAATGTCAGTATGTTTGACGTTTAGTGACAATACAGACATTGACATATTCTCTTATAGACTTATCGGCAACGTGAGCGATGGTTACTTTCATTAATTTAATATACATTGCTTAATTTCTTTTAATGTATTCTCAGTGTCACATGTCTTATTCGTCTCTTCAGCTTAAAGAAGTTTTTTCAACTCGTATTTTTATATAATTTTAATAAGTTTAGTTTATGATTATCAAAACTGATGTGTTATGCGAAATTTTAAGCATATCAGAAAAAAAAATCTATTGGACTCCAGCTGTCTTTAAAAAAAACTTATCTTTAATTGAGTATAATAGTAAATTATCTTTATGGATTAGCATATTGTATGAAATGTTTTATCTTATCTCACCAAACCAGACTATGTAGACTTAAAATCAAAAATAATTAAGATTGGTAAATACTAGTTAGTAATTTTCTTTTATTCAACATGAATTACTGTACTGATCAAAATTTAAACGAAATTATTCCGATAGTTAGTTTTATCAATCGAATCAATGTTATGGAAAAAGTAATTCAACAACAACTATTATTTCGCAGAACATTGTGTGAATTTCTGTATTATTTAATTAAATATTCCTGAATGAATGTGAATTTTTCCAATACAAAACCGTTTTGAACACAGTTATTAGTAAAAATTACAAAAAATAATCTGTAATTAGAAAATAGATATTTGTATGTACGTACAAATTTACTAAATAAAAGTTTTACTATATAGATGCTGTCGAACAATAATAGGAAGAAGAATCATATTTGTAAATAGAATAATTATATTCTATGATTTAAAAAAACTCAAGGTTATTTCAACATTTGCGGCACTAGTCTTATATACAGTAACAAATACATTTCTCTACATTATTTTGAAGAATGATTTTGTCACCAGTTTCTTTCTTTTTCCTTTTAATACGTTATTATAAGTCAAACAGAAAAAACTCACATTTTAATCACTCATATGTTAAAATAATTGAGAATACAGATCATAAGAAGTCCAAAAAAAATCTGGACAAAAAATTGACTGTGTTTGCATAACTGTTTTTATAAAAAGCGTGCAGTTTCAATAAAATCAGCTCATCGTTATTTGATATCCTATTGTTGAAGTTAAAGTAGAGGATAGTATTTGAAACGATTGAGTAATAGGAACGGCTCGTTTCCGAGTTTGAAGTAAACGGATATCTTCCAAATTAGCCGAATGGTTGAATAATATTAGTCAAGGGTTTTGGTGCTCTTGTGTCTATTAATTAAAAATGTGAATTTCAATTCATTGTTTGATAAAAACTAAAAATATTTATCGTTGAAGAGTACATGTAGATTATGTCAAATGTGGATCAATTCGAAACAAAATATAATAAAAACTTGATTATGAAAAATGATCATAATTTCAGAAAATTTAAACCAATAAAATATTATATACTAACTATAGATAAAGCATGAAATGAACCGTAGAGCATATTATTTCCCCAGCTGGTGATATTCTGCAATAAGGCAAAACGTTGCAACATGTCAGTGGTAGCGACTTGATGAACACGCTAACATTTTAATTAAATAATGAACGATCTCATACATGTTACAATATTTATTCAATCACCGTTGTTTGTATATCAGAATACACTTCGAATGGTATGAATTAAATAGGGACGTTTATAAAGACGTTACATATAATTATTTTATTCATGGTCCATTTAATAAATGCATAATAAATTTAAAAAATGTTTACATGTATCTATGTGTTGTGCAAATGCGTATGTTTCAGTTGGTGAGACCATCATTTATATTTTCTTTCTTTCGTTATATAAATACTTTCTTAATAGGTTTATTATAAAAAGTCTTTAAGTATAATTACTTCTTAGTTTGTAGTTAAACTAAAACTGTTTATCGATTAATCACACTGCACCTTTCTTTAGCGGTAAAGTTGTTAATGTCTTTAATTTGCCTCCCAGCAAGTCCATTAAAACATGGCCGCAAAGCTTTAACAACTTCGAAAAAAAAAATTTAATGCATACCAAATGCTTTTAAAACAGTTATACCGCCGAAAGACCGTTTTTTCATTGAATTTAAAGAATCCATAGTAATTTTTACTCATATTTAATATATTATGAAGTCAATATTATAATACGGCATTCGATAGAACCACGTTATGTTGATAAAATTCGGTGAATGGGAACTAAATGTGGATTTAGTAAAACATATTATGATGAAAAGTTTATACCTCATTCAGAAGTACAGAAATTTCTCAATACCTATTTACTTTCCCATCGAATTTTTAAAAATATATTAAGTGTATTGTAATTTTTCCTACCTTTTAAAATTTAAATAACTTAACTGCCTCTATGCATTATTGAAGTATCAAGGGCATTGAAGGGATACCAAAAAGGGGTACATTATATCCAAAAATAAAAGGGTTTGTTATGGGATTATTCTGGTAACGATAATAAAAGGATAAATTAACCAAACATAATTGTAACTAGCCATATGGTATAAATAAATCTAATTACTTTTTAATTTGCTTTGTTGATATATAAAAAGATTATGAATCCCTTGAAACAAATAATCACTGCTCTAATCACAAAACATTTAATAACGAAATCGACTTTCTGTAACACTAGTCCTTAAACTTGTAGGATAAGGTTCGCAATCATTTAATCTATTTTTGCAATAAACCCAGAAGTATATAGACTACGGTTGGCATTGTTGAGTGATTAGCTATAGCTCGCTGATTCAAGCAAGTGGCCTGGAAGAGGTCTCGAGGAACTGTCTTCCTTTTACACATCAATGAAACCAATAATCTTGGCATTGTACAAAGTATTGCAATAGCAAATAATTAATGTTTGCACAACAAATCATATCGAATTGGTTTTTTTTTGTAACGGATAAAGAAACTGAATTGGAAAAAAGTTATATATTTCTATTTTTATATTGCGCTGAATTATTTGATTTATATTTAGATTGAGCTAACTTAAATATGTATAAAACAGTCAAATTGTAGTCGATGAAAATGTTTTTCTCTTTCATAGTTTCTATTATTATTTTAGAAACAATTATTGTGTCATGAAATAAAAATATTAAACATTTAATTCCATAAAAACTCTCTGAGGTTTGAATTTTTAAAAGAGAAAACGTTAGGCTGCCAGTAATATATAGCTCTTCGTTTTACTTATGAGATGTTTCCTCGGAGCTTGGTTAGAAAAAAACATCTCTCTCGGAATTCAGGTTTATTAGGGAGATTTTACCTCACATTTGAAAAGTATAAAGTGCTCTCGGTAAGTATTTTGTATATTCAAAAGAATCTTTTCATTTTTTCTATAAAAACACGTATTTTCACTTTTTATTTTACAAGTATTGAAAAA